GAGAAGGAGTCATTCCCATTCTGATGTCAATACTGGTTGCAGAGACCTTGGTACATGCCTTGCAACTGGTGGGGGTTATTGTGCGTGTGTGTGATCCAGGGACTTTACCAGAGGGCAAAATCCACATTCCCCACTGATTCTGAGTCTGGATGGGAGAATTAACAGGGGGTTGGGCAGCCACATGTGACTGTAAGGTGCCCTCACCCTGACAATGTATCACAGGCTCTGGGGATCAAACTGCCTCGGTGGAGCACGCACACCGAGCTGGCTCCGGGGACACCTCAGCCTCTCTGTGGACAGGACAGGCTAGTGGGGTGGAGTGGATCCTTTGCAACCCATGACTGAAGGAGCCTTGTGTGCTGAGATGTGGAGACTCTGTAACTGCATGACAGGCCCGGAGAGCTGGATCTCTGGGCAGCTGTGCAGCTCCACACTCTCAGGGCTCCCTGAATGCCTGGGGTGGGTTACTGTAGCGAGATGTGAGCTCACATTGAGGACTGTGCAGATCCTTTGTGCAGTTCATGGGGAGTGAGGATGAGTACTGCACCCACTGAGGGCTAACACCTGGGCACTGATCACCTTGGAAGAGAGGAAGAGCAATGGACAGATCAACCACAGAAAACCAGCAAGAAAACCACAAAGTTAACTGACACTACAGACCAAATGGACCTAAAGGATATCTACAGAAGTTTTCCTTTTACAGTTTCAGAGTACACATTCTTCTCACCAATGCATGGACCTTTCTCTAGGCTAGACCACATGCTAGGCCATAGGCAACTCTCAGCAAATTAAAGAACAAATTGAAATCATACCATGCATCTTCTCTGACCATAATGGAATATAGCTGGAAATCAACAACTCAAGAATCTCTAGAACATATGCAAACACAGAGAAACTGAACAACATGCTCCTGAATGAACAGTGGGTCACTGAAGAAATCAAAATAGAAATCAAAAATTTTCTGGAAATGAAGGAAGGTGACAATACAACATATCAAAATTTATAGGATACAGCAAAAGCAGTGTTAAGAACAAAGTTTATAGCAATTGGTGACTGTATCTAGAAATTGGAAAGGCACCAAATAAATGAGCTTTCAATGCATCTCATGGACCTAGAAAAACAACAGCAAACCAAACTGGAACTAGTGGGGAAAAGAAATAATTAAAATTAGAGAATAAATAAATAAAATTGAAACAAAAACTAAAAAAAATACAAATGATCAGCAAAATGAAGAGTTTTTTTTTTTTTTTTGCAAAAATTAACAAAACTGACAAATCAGTGGCCCAAGTAACCAAAAACAAAACAGGGAGAAAACACAAATCAATAAAATTAGAGATAAAAAAAGGAAATCTAACAACAGATACCAAAGAGATAAAAGAATCATCAGGAATTACTACAAAGAGCTGTATGTCAACAAATCAGGAAACCTAGAAGAAATGGATAGATTCCTGGACACATAAAACCTACCTAAATTGGGTCATGAAGACTTAGAAAGCCTAAACAGACCAATAACCAGCACAGAGATTGAATCAGTAATAAAGACCCTCCAAACAAAAAAAGCCCAGTACCAGATGGCTTCACTGCTGAATTCTACCAGATATTTAAAGACCTAATTCCAATTCTTCTCAAGCTATTCAAAAACAATTTAAAGGGTGGGAATCACCCAAACTCCATCTATGAAGCCAGCATCACCTTAATTCCCAAATCTTAATAAGATACAACAGAGAACTATGGACCAATTTCCCTGATGCTCATAGATGCAAAAATCATCATCAAAATATTAGCTAATCAAATCCAACAACACATCAGAAAGATCATTTACCCAAACCAAATGGGATTTATCGCTGGTATGCAGGGATGGTTCAACATTCACAAATCAATGTGATACATCACAATAAATTGAAGAACAAAAACGATATGATTATCTCAATAGATGCAGAGAAAGCATTTGATAAAATACAACATCTTTTCATAATGAAAACTTCAAACAAACTGGGTATAGAAGGAACATTCCTCAATACAATCCAAGCAATCTATGACAAACTCATGGCCAGCATCTTACTGAATGAGGAAATGTTGGAAAGATTCCCACTGAATTCTGAAGTCTGACATGGACATCCATTCTCAACATTGCTATTCAATATAGTCCTGGAAGTTTTAGCCACAGCCATTGGGCAAGAAAAAAAAAATTAAAGGGATACAAATTGGGAAGGAAGAAGTCAAATTATCCCTATTTGCTGATGACATGATTCTTTTTTTTTAATTTATTTGACAGGTAGTGTTATAGACAGTGAGAGAGAGAGAGAGAGAGAGAGAGAGAGAGAGAGAGGTCTTCCTTCCACTGGCTCACCCCCCAATTGGCCGCTATGGCCCGTGCTGCACTGATCCAAAGTCAGGAGCCAGGTGCTTTTTCCTGGTCTCCCATGTGGGTGCAGGGGCCCAAGCACTTAGGCCATCCTCCACTGCACTCCCAGGCCACAGCAAAGAGCTGGACTGGAAGAGGAGCAACCGGGACTAGAACCTGGCACCCATATGGGATGCTGGTGCTGCAGGTGGAGGATTAACCAAGTGAGCCACGGTGCTGGCCCCTGATGACATGATTCTATATACAGGAGAACCAAAAAAAAAAAAAAAAACCTATACTAAGAGACTATTGGAATTCATACAGAATTTTGCAAAGTGGCAAGATATAAAATTAACACACAAAAATCCATAGCTTTTGAATACACAGATAATGCCATGGCTGAGAAAGCTCTTCTGCTCTTCTAAGTCAATCCCATTCACAATAGCTACAAAAAGCTGAACACCTTGAAATAAATTTAACCAAAGATGTCAAAGATCTCTATGATGCAAATTACAAAACATTAAAGAAATAAGTAGAAGAAGACACAAAAAATGGAAAAATCTTCCAGGTTCATTGATTGGAAGAATTAATATCATCCGAATGTCCATATTACCATAAGCAATTTACAGATTCAATGCAATACCAATCAAAACACCAAGGACATTCTTGGATCTAAAAAAAAAGATGCTAAAATTCATATGGAAACAAAAGAGACCCTGAATAGCTAATGCCATTTTATAGAACAAAAACAAAGCTAGAGGTATCACAATACCAGATCTGAAGAATATTATAGGACAGTTATAATCAAAACAGACTGGTACTGGCACAAAAACAGATGGATAGATCAATGGAACAGAATATAAACTCCAGAAATCAATCCATGCATCTGAAATCAACTTACCTTTGAAAAGGAGCTAAAATCAATCCCTCAAACAAGGACCGTCTCTTCAATAAATTATGCTGGGAAAACTAGATCTCCATGTGCAGAAGTATGAAACAAGACTCCACCTTACACCTTCACAAAAGTCCACTAAAAATGGATCAAAGACCTAAATCTATGACCTGATATTAACAAATTATTAAAGAATATTGGTGGAAACTCTGGAAGAAATGGCATAGGCCAAGAGTTCTTGGAAAAAAACCTGAAAGCACAGGCAATTAAAGGAAAATTGACAAATGGGACTATATGAAGCTGAGAAGTTTCTGCACTGCAAAAGAAACACTCAGCAAAGTGAAGAAGCAATGGATAGAATGGGAGAAATAATTTGTAAACTATGCAATGATAAAGGATTAATTTACAGAATCTACAAAGAGCTCAAGAAATTCAAAAACAAAGGAAACAATCCAGTTAAGTAATGGGCAAAGGACTTGAACAGGCATTTTTCAAAAGAGGGAATTCAAATGGCCAACAGACATTTGAAAAAATGTACAAGATCACTATCCTATAGGGAAACGCAAATCAAAACCACAGTGAGGTTTCACTTCACCCCTGTTAGTGGCTGTCATACAGAACAAAAAATGCTGATGAAGATATGGGGAAAAGGTACTCTAATCCACTGTTGGTGGGAATGTAAACTGGTACAGCCACTGTGTAAGACAGTGTAGAGATACCTCAGAAATCTGAATACAGACTTATCATGTTACCTGGCCATCTCATCCTGGGAATCTACTCAAAGGAAATTAAATCAGCATATGAAAGAGTTATCTGTACCCCCATGTTTATTGAAGCTTAATTCATAATAGGTAAGATATGGAATGAACTTATATGTCCATCAACTGATGATAAAGAAATTATAGGATAGATACACTATGGAATACTACACAGTGGTTAAAAGAAAAGAAATCCTGTCTTTTGCAACAAAATGAATCCAACTAGAAACATTATACTTAGTGAAATAAGCCAGTCCCAAAAAGATAAATACCATATGTTCTCCCTGATCTGTGGTAACAGAGTACCTAAAATGTAATTTATAGGAGTGAAATGGACATTTTGATATTCAGTGATTTTTTTACAGCCCTTGTGTCTTCTGTTGAGGAACAGTGTTTTTCTTTTCATCCTATTTGCTTAACTCTTTACTTAGTGTAGGGCAATTTTATGAGTATAAAGGTAATAGAAAATAATCTTTGTAAAAATTTAAAAATGAGCATAGGAGAGGAAGGAGGCAGAAGGGTGAGAGCGTGGGTAGGCAGGTGGGTAGGGAGAAAAGTATCACTATGTTTCTGAAGTTGTATATAGAAATACATGAAATTTGTATAACAAATGAAATTTTTTAAAAAGTAAAAAAATAAAAAAACTTCAAAAAGAAGCAAGAGTAGAGTGTGGTCCCCAAAGCCTGGGGGTGGAGGAAACGGGGAGATGTAGTCAAAGCTGTAAGATGAGGAAGTTCTGGAGATCGAACGTACGTCATGGTGACTGTAGCTAATAATACTGGATTGTTCACTTGCAGTTTTCTAAGACATTTCATAATATATACATCTATCAAAAATATCATGTTACATATAATTTACATATTGCTTATAACCAATTATGCTTCAATAAAGCTGGAAAAATTTTTAAAAAAGAGTAAAAAAATTTATTAGAGAAAGAAGACTCCCAACTGTTTGTGTTGGAGGCCTGAAGGGTGCTGATGAAAGCACTCGTTACGCTAGGACCTACCTCTTTTGTAACACTAGGAAGCAGTAGTGCCAAATCACAGAACTTCAAAGCATCCTGGTTTTGGTCAAGATCAATATAACACTAGAAATTAAAAAAAAAATTCGATGTTAAATGTAATCACATTTTAATGTGTTGGATTCAAAGTGATCTTAAAACAATGGTCTTTATTACCTTTGCCAAGTGCATGTAATTGGATGTAGAGAAACCAGGGTGTAGTTCTTCAGCCTGATTTATGAGAAAACAGACAAGAATATAACAGGGCAAAATTAAAGCAACATTAATCACAAGTAAAGAGGATATATTTCAAAAAAGTAAGTATTACCAACCAAATCACCCTGAGAATGTAGCTTAGTTGGTTCACATTTGAATCATTTTATCAGCTTAAGTATTTTTTGATGGAAATATAACATTTCAATTTAGCCATTATCATTAAATTAGTATGGTCATAAAGCTTCTAAAACAATGAGATACTTCAAGGTTTTAAGATTTCTTTATATAATCAATTTCTGCACTCCTCCTTCTCTTTCTCTTTTTTCTTCTTCCATTTCAAGAACAAAAGCAACTGGTGATAAACTCCCTGGGGACAAATCCTATACACTTCGTAGTCTGTTTAGGAAATGAGAGTAGAGCAAGACTTGAACTCAACAGCAAGCATCTTCCACAAGGTTACTATCCGATTTCTTATGAGCTGAACACACTGCATATATGAATAAGCGTCTGAAGTGCCTCAAGCCAAGTGCTCTTGAAGCAAAGACAGGTCCTTAAAATAATCCATCTAAGTGCTGGATTTCATGAGTATGCTGAAGGTACTTCATCCTTCATCTACTGGTCACAGAAGTGCCAGTTCCTTTTCTTTGTTTCTGGGAAATAAGCATTCTTTCCGGCTTACGGTATTGCTGTGAAGGGACTCCTCCTAGAACCTAAGTCAGCCTTTGCTTCAGAGCCAGCTTCTGCGGTGGTGAAGGCCAAGGCTTGACCTCAGTCCCCACCTCAGAGGGTTGCAGAACCCAGGAGAAGAGGGATACTTTTAAAAAGTTACAAAAATACACTTATTTTTATAAAATATAAATAAACTAGACATTTCCAAAATAGTAAGTAAAAATTTCTCCTTTCTCATTTTATGCTCAACTTTGATCTCATGTCTCAGGGGTAACCACTACCAACAGTTTGACATAAGTCCTACCAGACCTTGGTAAAAGGCAAGCAAAAACTAGATCATTGAAAAACAAAAACTTGGCTGGTGCCGCGGCTCACTAGGCTAATCCTCCGCCTTGCGGCGCCAGCATACCGGGTTCTAGTCCCGGTCGGGGCGTCAGATTCTGTACCGGTTGCCCCTCTTCCAGGCCAGCTCTCTGCTGTGGCCAGGGAGTGCAGTGGAGGATGGCCCAAGTGCTTGGGCCCTGCACCCCATGGGAGACCAGGAAAAGCACCTGGCTCCTGCCATCAGATCAGCACGGTGCGCCAGCCGTGGCGGCCATTGGAGGGTGAACCAAGGGCAAAAAGGAAGACCTTTCTCTCTGTCTCTCTCTCTCACTGTCCACTCTGCCTGTCAAAAAAAAAAAAAAAAAAAAAAGGGACCATTTTCCACATGATTCAAAAACCTTCTTTTCCTTCACAAGGTAGACACATTTCCATGTTAGCATACACAGATCTACTTCACTGTTCCCAAGAGCTCTGTTTCATATTATGAATATACCAAAATTAATCCTTCCTCATTGGACATTTACATTTATTATTAATTTTTACTATTACTAATATTGACCAATAAACATGATTGTGTACAGGTGCAGTTATGTACATAAGGAGAGACTCCTAGAAGTTGAACTGCTGAGTCAAAGCATACACACACACACACACACACACACACACTCACACACATTTTCTTAAAAGCTAGGTACTAAAGAAGCAGATCCAAGGGAAGGTGCTGAGGACTGCTCCAACACCCTAGGGAGTACATACCCTGTAAAAGACACTCTGTTCTCCACAGAATCAAAAAAGGAAGGGTTTTGGGAGAAGGAAGATAAAGTCTCCTGAGTTGAGGAGCCAAACTGAGTGCTACTCTTTAAGACACAGTAGGTCAACAGAGTCCGGACTTAGTGTGGAAACTGCTAGAGAGACAGCAAAGCTACTAATAGATTAAAGAAAGGTGTCAATTTGATCCTAGCCAGAGTTTTGAATGTCCTATACAGTCATCCATGGAGTTGATGGGTTATGGATTTCCTGGTGTTCTCTCTTATTTAATTTCTTCCCATTTCTATGCTCCTAGTTTAGTAAGTAGATTTCTTGAGCCATTCTAATAAGAGGGACTTAGACTGAGCTTTGTTCAGTTGTGTCTTATATGTCTAGTATTCCCTAGGTCAGTCCAAATCCCTTCTGTATAACTTGTCCCCTTGCATGCAAATAAACAGCTTATTTCTTCAATGTTGGCATTTTAATTCTGCATATATGCTTTAATATCTATATTAAATTAATCAAATGATTTTAAATCAGAAAACCCCTTTTTGGGGTAGGCAATTGGCCAAGCAGTTAAGCTGTTGGTTAGAACCCTCATGACTCACAGGAGTACCAGAGTTTGATGCCTGCCTCTAGTTCCTGACTCCAGCCTTTTGCTAATACAGACCCTGGAAGACAGAGGCCCTGGAAGACCCTGGCTCAAGAAATTGGGCTGCTGAAACCCATGTGGAAGATCTGGATTGAGTTCCAGTCTCCTGGCTTTGCCCTAGCCCAATCCTGGCCATTAAGGGCATTTGGAGTATGAACCAGTAGAGTGGAACACTCACATATTCTCTTTCTCTCACTGTCTAACTCACTTTCTCTGTTGCTAAAATGAATAATGAAAAACTTTTTAAATGTCCTTTTTTTTTTGTAACTTAAAAATAAATGAAGCTCAAAGGAATGCCAGTGAGGCTATTAACAATATTGAAATCCTAGAGTAGAACAGCTTTGGGTCTTTTATGAATTACCATAGGGCAGTATTATTCAGTATGGTGTTCTTATTAAGACACAGTTTCTAGAGACGCTCTTAGAACAAGCTGTCCTGGGGCTAGTCACATGGCACAGTGGTTAAGACAATGCCTGTGATGCTGGCATCCCATATGAGCACTGGTCCAAGTGCCAATCCAGCTCCCTACTGATGTGCCTGGGAAAGCAGCAGAAGATGGCCCAAGTGCTTGGGCCGCTGGCACCCACATTGGAGACCTAGATGGAGTTCTAGGCTCCTGGTTTGGCTTGGCCAAGCCCAGGGCCATTGAGGTTATCTGGGGAGTGAACCAGCAGATGGTAGATCTCTCTCTTTCCAACTCTGCCTTTCACATAAATAAAAAATAAATCTCAAAAAGAAACCCAGAGCATTGTTTCATAACACCTAGCAAAGGATATAATACATGTTTACTTGGTCTTGGCCATTCTCGGTCCTTGAAGGTAGGAGCTGGATAGGTCATTTCTGTATTTTTTGCAGTTGATATTGTGTTTGGCACTAGGCATGTGCTGATAAATGTTAAATAAGTTAGCTCTTCTTTAAAGTATCTCATAACCTCAAGGAGCAGTGTCCTACCATATCAGGATGTACATGATAGCTTTGCAGCTGGCAGAACCACTGTAGGGACCAGAGATCCCTCGATTGCAAATGATGTGTGAGATCAGGGCAGCCCATCACCCAGCATTGCGACTCTTGGCCTTCTGCTGCATGTGCAACCATTCTCGGGTCCAGCAGTTCCTAACCATGCTACGGGCTGCCAGTGCCACCACTCTGAGAGCTTTAAAAATACTGATCATGTTTTAAAGCCACACACCAAATAACCCAGCAATTCTACCCTTAGGTACATATCCCAAAGAAGTAAAGATATGCTCACACAAGAGCTTGCATATGAATGTTTGCAGATACTTTATCCATAACATCACTAAATTGGAAACAACTCAAATACTCATCAGTAGGTTACTAATCTAAAAGGATGATTTATCCATATAGTGGGATATTACTCAGCAATGAAAAGGAACTATTGATACAGTCAGTAAAATGAATCAATCTCAAAAAAATGCTGAGTGAAGGAAGCCAGATATATACAACGATACATACAAGTTGTATGATTCCATTTATATTAAAGTTTAAAATAGGCAAAAGTAATCTATAGTGAGAAAAGAGCAGATAAGTGGGTACTTGAGACTGGGAGTGGGGAAACTGACAGCAAAGGGGTGAAGATAACTCCCCGGGGTGATCAAAATGCTCTAGATCTTGAAATGGTGGTGGTTACTTGAGTATATAAACTTTAAATTTCACTAAACTGTACATTTAAATGAGTACAATTTATTGTATGTACACTGTACCTCAAGGTACTCAGTGATTCTGAAACAATTAGTCTGGATCATGACCTGAGCCGGCCAGCTCCCCAGATGATTCTAATTTACAGCCAACATTGACAACCATTCCTGGCCCTGTCAACTTCTCTAGAGTGGGTTGCGGGCAGGACTCTTACGGTCTGGGCACAATAAACTTTTTTTTAAATTCCATTTGCCCACAAAATGAAGTACGTTTGTATTTAATCCTCAGAACACTACTATGAGGTAGGTGCTATTCTCTCTGTGCTATGGATTAAATTGAGAGACAGAAGTTAAGAAACTTGCCCAGCATTTGGTAAATGGTAGAACTGAAATCTAAACAAGTAGTCTGTTTCTAACATTTGCATTCCTTACTTTGACTTTGAATGCTGACTGTATATTATTTCAGGAATATTAGCACTGTATTCCTGAATATCCAAATATCCAAAAACTTGATGTCCAGTTATAACTTTGATATGATGAGAAAATGAGTTTTAAGTTCAAATAACATTTGTTGATTAACTTGGCGGCACTTTTTTATATAAATCATTTAAATATATGATGATGCATATTCTTACAAAATTTCAAATGGGAGAACTAATCCTCAGTGGCAGAAGAAAGCTGAGGGAGTGGGTATAATGCAGTCTTAGACTCTATTCACATTTTAAATTGCATTTTTGACTGGCACTGGGTAAAACTATAAATTTGGTTCCTGAGGTCTTCATTTCCCGTTTACAAAACAACAAAGGTAACATTAAGTGAAAAATAAGACCCGGGTGACCCTGTGCTCCTCTCCACGGGGCTTGCTTCACATCAGAACACTTACTATCTCACAGCACCTAGGCAGCCACGGGCCACTGGTCAAAGATAAAAAGCGGGAGGGAACCTAATTGCCATCTTAACCAATATGATCATTTGTTAAAAAAATTTTACTTAGTTAATTTTTATTTACTTGAAAAGCAGAGAAAGAGAGAGAGAATCTTTTATCCCCTGGTTTCCTCCCCAAATGTCCAGGCAGCTGGGCAAGGGCAGGTGAAAGGCAGGAGCCCAGAATTCAATCCAGGTCCTCCTATGTGGTGGGAGGACCCCTCACCTGCTGCCTCCCAAGGTGTGCTTTAGCAGGAATCTGGAATTAGAAGCCAAGCCAGGATTCAAACCCAGGCACTCCAATACCAGATGCAGGTGCACCAAGTGGTGTCTTAACAGCTGCACCTAATGCCCAGCCCCAGACTATACGACTTTAAATTCCCTCTCAGGTTGCAAAAATAATTCTGAAGACACAATACAAATCTTAACATGCACAAAATGTCAGAATATATCATTCAGGGCTAAATTTGTCTTTATTTTTATAAACTTGAAATAGGTAGGTGGGAAAAGAAAGACATTCAGTAACTACAAGGTTTTCAAATTGGTTCCAGGGACAGGCAAAGGGGTCAGTCCAACAGGAAGCTGATTAGACAGGTAGGTATATTACATATTTACACGTGTTCAGCTTTTTATCAGCACAGCACAATACATTTAAAGACAAGAGCAAAAATAATGACTTGGTCTGCTGCCCCAGGAATCTTGCACAGAAGTGTCTGCAGTTGAGGAAGTGGGTTTTAAAATAACTCTTCCTTTTGACATCTTTTAGTTGTTTGAGATTAAATGAGTTCTGTGTTAGGCTAATAAGCAAAACCAGGACCAGCACTGTTGGGCGGGGCCTGTTTCTGCACCTGGTCGTTTGCCTGGGAGAGCTGCTGCTGAGCTTGGTGGTAAGGGTCAGGGATGCTCTACCTAAACCTCCGCGTAGGCTGCTGAGTTATTCCTGACATGCTCAAGCTGACTTACCTCAAATGGTAGAGTTAGAAACATACCAGGGGATTCCAATTCAGTCCCATCAAGGTGGCATGTACCAATGCCATCTCACTAGTCCCAGTGATCAATTTCTGTTCACAATTGATCATAATGATAGGACTAAGAACTAAAGGGATCACATAAACAAGAATAGTGTCTGCAAATACTAGCTGATAGAATAAAAAAGGGAGAGAATGATCCAACATGGGAAGTGAGATACACAGCAGACTCACAGAATGGCAGATGTCCTAAACAGCACTCTGGCCTCAGAATCAGCCCTTAAGGCATGCGGATCTGGCTGAAAAGCCCATGAGAGTATTTCAGGCATGGAAAGCCAAGACACTCTGAGACAAAAAAAAAAAAAAAAAAAAAAAAAAAAAAAAAACCTAAATGAAAGATCTCCGCGAGTGAGATCCCGTGGAAAGAACAGGTCATCAAAGAAGGAGGTACCTTTCTCTGAAGGGAGGAGAGAACCTCCACTTTGACCATGGCCTTGTCTAAATACGATCAGAGTCAGTGAACTCAGGGGGCTTCCATAGCCTTGGCAGCTCATGACAAGAGCCTAGGTTGATTACTGATGCCATAAACAAGAGTGTCAATTGGTAAAGTCAACAACAGGAGTCACTGTGCACTTACTCCTCCTGTAGGATCTTTGTCCTTAGTGTGCTGTACATTGAGATTTAATGCTATAACTAGTACTCAAACAGTATTTTTCACTTTATGTTTCTGTGTGGGAGCAAACTGTTGAAATCTTTACTTAATGTATGCTAAACTGATCTTCTGTATATAAAGAGAAATGAAAATGAATCTTGATGTGAATGGAAGGGGAGAGGGAGAGGGAAAGGGGAGGGTTGCAGGTGGGAGGGACGTTATGGGGGGGAAGCCATTATAGTCCATAAGCTGTACTTTGGAAATTTATATTCATTAAATAAAAGTTTAAAAAAAAAAGCAGCGTGTTCTAAGATGTATGGTGTAACTAGCTGCTCTAAGAAGTTTAGATTTGAAACATAATTTGCATTACTAGGAGCTTAAAAACAGAACACACCAAGAGTAGGATTCCAATCAGGGCTTCCGTTAGAGAGCAACACGCAGAAAGAAAACGATTTCCTTAACAACCAAGGACTCTTGCAGACAGTCCACAGCCTGATGCTAATATGGCAGAGAAATAAAACATACCTTAAGGAAGTTTTGCAAAGCTTCTTGTACAGTTGAAGACGGTATTTTTCCAAACAGAGTGGCAGCCATTTTTTTCTCAATCCAGCTGAGTTTTGAGATCTGTAAATGCATGGCAACATGAGTCTTAGAGAACTGTTCATCTTTTGAATGGATAATCTCTGCCCAGTTAGACGTGTGTACATATGCGTATACTTATTATGTAAATACATATGAATATGACATCTCTACATACCCATAATAAATAATACATATGAGAGCCATCATCCATATAGTATTAATACTAACATTTTGCCTTCACTTTTCATAATTCTAACCAACCATGAGCTCCAGAAACTCTGGTTTCAAAACCAATATGAGATATTCATCAAATGGGAAGAATCACTATATTCCTCAAGTTGTATTTATGGAGTTTGTATTCATTAAGTAAATGGTTTCTTTGGGGAAAAGAGAGAGAGAGAGAGAGAGAGGGAGAGAGAGAAGAAAATAGACAGCTAAAAAAGGAAATATTCATCAGAAGATCTGTGTTGAATCCCAGAAAGAGGGGCATGATAGGGAACGATGCTGAGGTGTGGTTGCTCATCTGACTGGTGATTCTGGGACGACTGCAGAGCGTTTCTCAGCTCGGTGTGTGGGAGGTACAGGACCCTGCCTGGGCTCTCTTCCTACCTACTCCACACTGCTCACAGGTCTTCTGAAACAGAGGCAGCAACTCAGAAATGTAAACAGCACCATGAGCCTCAAAGCAGAGGCAGCATAGCGTGAGGACCCAGCATACATATTTAGAATCCAGGAGATTTTTTGTTTACCCAATAATCACCAAAAGCAAATTTTGTATCATCATTTACTTTTTGCTTCCTTCTAAATTTTTTTTCATTTTTCCCCCAAAATGAAGGTACTCCAAAATGTTCATGGAGAATGGAATTAAAATATAAGCTAAATTTGGTACAAAACATTTTTGAACTTCATGGATATACGGAGTCATTAGAAAGCTCATGAAAATGTGTATTATGAAAAATATTTATGGATTTCCTAATTTTGCATCTAAATTTTGAAAACCTATTGTATGCATTATTTTCTATTTACAAAAAATTATTTCCTTGCTCTTTTACATAATTTCACCTATTGGTATATTTATTTCTGATTGGTTTTGAACTTTGTAAAAAATGATACAATGTTTATTTCCTCAGGTGTATCAGGTTATAATCTACATTAAAGTGAAATTTCACACATTGCAGGCATAGTTAAATAAGTTTTGATAAATGTATGCAACATGTAACCACCACAATCAAAATACACTGTAGTTTATTCTCTCATCCCCTAAGTGCTCTGTGCCCCTTTGCAGTCAATTCCCTTCCCTACTCCTAGGCAATGACTGACCTACGACTGTGGTTTGCCTTTTCTAGAATTTCATATCAATAGAAATATGCATCATGTTGTCTTCTGTGAGCCTCTTTGGCATAATGCTTTAAAAAGTCACCCAGGGTGATGTGCTGCCAACACGACCATGACCATTCATGTTCTAACCATTGAGTGAGTGTGCATTTTGTTTCTCTTGGTAAATACTTAAGAATCACTATGTTATTTATTCCTATATTAATTTATTGTTCATATATTCCCACCAGAATATATGAGAGTTCCAACTGTTCAATATCCTTGCCAACACCTCAATCTTTTAAATTTTAGCCTTTTAAATGAGTATGTAGCCAGAGCCACAAACTTGACTACTGCAAAAGAAAAGGAAAATACAAGGAAAGAAGAAAGAAAAAATATATAAAATACTGCATATAACACAAGATATTCAAAGTTGGAAATTATAAAATATATAGTCAATTTTTAAATAATATATAAAATTATAAAACATATAAATTCATAGAAAACATAGGCTGATTTTATAGTTTTCCCTATAGTAGGTATAGGGTAAAAATGAAAGAATAAATACATCACTAAAGATGTGAATCACAGTATATTCAAATAAGATTTATAAATAAAGGCATATACTTACAGTATAACAGTATCTTCCCTTGAGGTAATACAAAAAGGGTTCTTCAGGTAGAAGTTGGATTGCTATATCCAAATGTTCCTGAAAGAAGCATCCAAAGGAAAAGTCATCTCCCAAGGTTCAGATATTATTGAATGGAACCATGCCAAAGCCTAGTAACTACAACGTGATTTTACAATGTTATTGCAGCACCCTCAATCCATAACAACTGAGACAATTAAATCTCAATAATTCAGTGCTCAAAAGTGACTGTCAAAACCGGGACCAAACCTGTGATCATGACTTCATAAAGCTACGTATAATTTAAAGCCAAAAAATTGCTATAGAAATTAGAAAACACCTAAAGTTTTTCTGCCCATGACTTACCTAGCTAGTACTGATTCAGAGGAAAGCTTACAGACATCAAATGGCATGGAGCAAGGTGTAGTGGAAGAAAAATTAGTGGACCTAGATGGGAGAGGAACTATTCCCCTGGTATTATCAAAATGGGTATAGGCAGCCAGAAAACAAGAAAGAACTATTCGATCCTCCTGGAATTACTGACCCTGCAGGCTTATTTTTGAGCGTTTTAACTAGAGCAGATGACAAATGATGTGTATGTGGATTATTATTTTGTTCATCTATCACGGAAAATTTAGCCCTAGATTGGATCTTAACTCCTCCCACCAAGTATGTGGAAAGATTGCTGACTAATTAGACCCAGTCACATGGGTGATGTTGGTGAGCTTGTGACCAACAGGTTAATCCTCCAACTTCGAAAAAAATAATACTCATCCACTATGTGACTTCTTAGAGGCTGTGTAATAATAATATTTAACCACACAAATAGTTTGATTCCTTTTGTCACAGCACTATTTATGGAGTGCCATTTCATTGAAACAACAATGACAACACATTTCTAGAGCATTAATTTATACCTGTTAATGAAATATAGACCTACATTAAAACATTTTTAATATCAAAAATACCTTGAAGCAATGCCCGTAGTTGATTTTGTTTTGTAAACCCTCAAATTCAGATACATAGCCACACAAAACTGCATACCTGAAAAACATAAAAACAGTATCTGTCATGTAAATTTAAAATTGTATACCTCCAAAACAATGTTTTTTAACAAAAAAATTCACTAATTTTTTAAATAGAAGTACTTGAAGAGATGCAACAGCCTTAAATTAATAAATACTTGACATTAATATGAGGCAAATTTCCTCATCTACAAATGGGGATACCAACACTGCCTATCTTATGTGTATAGTGTGAGGATAAAATGAACTGAAATATGTAATGTGCTTAAAACTGCACCTGGCTCAAAAGGAGTTATAATAAACATTAACTGCCTTTATTACTGCCATCATCAACTCAAAGTCATGAAGAAGCTTGCTCTTAGGAAAAGTCTATTAAATTAGAAAAAACCACAATTCTCTTTTAAAACATTGATTTATTTCTTTGAAAGGCAGAGTTACAGAGAGGAAGAGACAGAAAACAAGTGCGAGTGCGAGACAGAGAAAACTCCCATCCGCTGGTTCACTTCCTCAGTTGGTCACAATGGCCAAGGCTGGGCCAGGCCAAAGCCAGGAGACTGAATTCCATCAGGGTCTCCCGCATGGGTGGTAGGGACCCAAGCCTTTGGGCTATCTTCTGCAGTTTTCCTGGCATCCTATTTGAGATCCAGTATGAGCCCTGGCTGGGTTACCTCTTCTATTCCAGCATCCTGCTAATGGGCCTGGGAAAGCAGCAGAAGACAGCCCAAATCCTCGGGCCCCTGCATCAAGTGGGAGACCCAGAAGAAGGTTTTGGTTCCTGCCTTCAGCCTGGCCCAGCCCTGGTCATTGTGACCATTTGGGGAGTGAACCAGTAGACAGAATATCTCTGCCCTTCTCTCTGTCTCTCCTTATCTCTGTAACTCTGCCTTTCAAATAAATCAGTAAAGAAATAAATCTTTAAAAAAAAAACCTCATTGTTCCTAAAAAAATAAAAACAAAAATTCTATGACCTCTTTTAATGCCCTTGAAAATAACAATAAATACAAAAGGGTTTTAAAAAATTCATGGAAAATTCATGTTATCTTTCTGAGATTTTTTTCTTTTCATTTCTTTTTTCCTCCAGAAACCATTTACCTAAGGTATACAAACTTCATGCATTTCATAAATGGAACTTTAGGAACATAGTGATAGTGATTCTTGCCACTGTACTCCCCTCCCAACCTACTCCCACCCTTCTTCCTCCTCCCTCTCCTATTCCCATTCTTAGTTTTTACTAAGATCTATTTTGAATTAACTTTGTACATAGAGGATTAACTCTATACTAATTAAAGAGTTCAACAAATAGTATGGAAAAAAAAAATCTGTTCCTCAACACTTTTTTTTTTTTTTGAGTTTTTTTTTTTAACTTTTATTTAATGAATATAAATTTCCAAAGTACGATTTATGGATTACAATGGCTTCCCCCACATACCGTCCCTCCCACCCACTACCCTCCCCTTTCCCACTCCCTCTCCCCTTCCATTCACATCAAGATTCATTTTCGATTATCTTAATATACAGAAGATCAGCTTAGTATACATTAAGTAAGGATTTCAACAGTTTGTTCCCACACAGAAACATAAAGTGAAAAATAATAGATGATTTTTTTAAATGATGATGAAATCAGATCAGACCTATTGTCATGTTTAATCCCAGTGAGAGTCAAGTTGGGAGTTGATAATTTCTTTTTTCTTTTTCTTTTTTTTTTTTTTTTACAGAGGATCAGTTTAGTATACATTAAGTAAAGATTTCAACAGTTTGCACCCCCATAGAAACACAAAGTGAATTATATTGTTTGAGTACTCGTTATAGCATTAAATCTCAATACACAGCACATTAAGGACAGAGATCCTACATGAGGAGTAAGTGCACAGTGACTCCTGTTGTTGACTTTACCAATTGACACTCCTGTCTATGGCATCAGTAGTCTCCCTATGCTCCAGTCATGAGTTTCCAAGGCTATGGAAGCCCTCTGAGTTCTCCAATTCTTATCTTGTTTAGACAAGGTCATAGTCAAAGTGGAGGTTCTCTCCTCCCTTCGGAGAAAGGTACCTCCTTCTTTGATGACCTGTTCTTTCCACTGGGATCTCACTCGCAGAGATCTTTTGCCAGAGTGTCTTGGCTTTCCATGCCTGAAATACTCTCATGGGCTTTTCAGCCAGATCAGAATGCCTTTAGGGCTGATTCTGAGGCCAGAGTGCTATTTAGGACATCTGCCATTCTATGAGTCTGCTGAGTATCTCACTTCCCATGGTGGATCACTCTCCCCTTTATTTATTCCATCGGTTAGTGTTAGCAGGTACTAGACTTGTTTATGTGCTCCCTTTGACTCTTAGTCCTTTCATTATGATCAATTGTGAACTGAAATTGATCACTTGGAATAGTGAGATGGCATTGGTACATGCCACCTTGATGGGATTGAATTGGAATCCCCTGGTATGTTTTTAACTCTACCATTTGGGGCAAGTCAGCTTGAGCATGTCCCAAATTATACATCTTTTTGATTTCTCTTTCGATTTTTTCAGTGATCCACTGTTCATTCAGGAGCACGTTGTTCAGTCTCCATACGCTTGCATATGTTCTAGAGTTTCCTGAGTTGCTGATTTCCAGCTTCATTCCATTGTGGTCTGAGAAGATTTGTGGTATGATTTCAATTTTTTTGAATTTGCTGAGACTTGCTTTATGATCTAGCATGTGGTCAGTCCTAGAGAAAGGTCCATGCACTGTTGAGAAGAAAGTGACCTCTGCAACTGTAGGATGAAAAGTTCTGTAGATATCCAACAGATCCATTTGATCTAAAGTGTTGGTTAACTCTGCTGTTTCCTTGCTGGTTTTCTGTCTGCTTGATCTGTCCATTGCTGAAAGCGGGGTACTGAAGTCCCTCATTACCATTGTATAGGAGTCCGTGTCTCCCTTTAGATCCATTAACATTTCTTTTATTTATTTAAAGTTTATAGAATTGAAATTATTTTTTTCTTTTATTTTTAGGGTTTGTAGAATTGAAATTCTTTATTCCTTTTAAAATTTTTTATTTGTTTGTTTTTCCCCAAAAAACCTTTTATTTAATAAGTACAAATTTCATAACTACAACTTTAGGACTATAGTGGTACTTCCCACCATAGCTGACCTCCCATCCCCACTCCCACCCCACTTCCTTCTCCTTCTCCCATTCCCAGTCCCATTCTCCATTAAGATTCATTTTCAATTAACTTTATACACAGAAGACCAATTCTACACTAAGTAAAGATTTCAATAATTTGCATACACACATATATACACCCACACAAACATACATACAAAAACTTTGAGTACAAGTTTTACAGTTAATTCTCATAATATAACTCATTGAAGACAGAGGCCCTGCATGGGAAGTAAGTGCACAGTGACTCCTGTTGTTAATTTAACAATTAACACACTTATGTATGATGTCAGTGATCAGCCAAAGCTCTTTTTTTAATAAGATTTATTTATTTATTTGAAAGTCAGAGTTACACAGAGAGAAGGAGAGGTGGGGGGGGGTCTTCCACCCTCTGGTTTACTCCCCAATTGGCCACAACGGCTAGAGCTACGCCAATTTGAAGCCAGTTTCTTCCTGGTCTCCTACAAAGGTACAGGGGCCCAAGCACTTGGGCCGTCTTCTACTGCTTTCCCAGGCCATAGCAGAGAGCTATATTGGAAGTGGAGCAGCTAGGACTTGAACTAGTGCACGTATGGAATGCCAGCACTCCAGGCTGTGGCTTTACCCACTATGCCACAGTGCTGGCCCCTACCTGAGGCTCTTGACATGAGCTGCTAAGGCTCAGAAGCCTCTTGAATCCACAATCTCCATCAGTATTTAGATAAGGCCATAAGCAAAGTGGAAGTTCTCTCCTCCCTTGAGGGAAAAGTATATACTTTGATGGCCATTTCTTTCTACTGGGGTCTCACACACAGAGATCCTTCAAATAGGACCTTTTTTTTTTTTGCCATGGTGTTTTGGCTTTCCAGGCCTGAAATACTCTCCTGGGCTTTTCAGCCAGACCAGAATGTCTTAAGGGCTGATTCTGAGGTCAGAGTTCTATTTAAAGTGATTGTCATTCTAAGAGTCTGCCGTGTGGACTGCTTCCCATATTGGAAGATTCTCTCCTTTTTAATTCTATTATTATTACCAGACACTTGATCTTATTTATATGATCCTTTTAACAATCCTATATATATGATAACTTTAATACTTAATATGATTCCTTTAACACTTAATATGGCATTTTTACCACCCAGCTTAATGGGATTTGGGGTCCCATGGCAAGTTTTTAAAGGTACCCTTAGAAGTAAGTTTGTAGGAATGTATGCAGAACTATACAGCTTTATAGTTACAAATTTCCTCTTCCCTCTCCTTTTTCCAATCTTATTTTTTACTGAGGTCTAATTTCTTTTTTTCTAATATTTATTTATTTATTTGAAAGGCAAAGTTACAGAGAGGCAGAGGCAGAAAGAGAGAGGTCTTCCATCCACTGGTTCATTTCCTAGCTGGCCACAATGGCCTGAGCTGCGCCAATCTGAAGCCAGGAGCCAGGTGCTTCCTCCAGGTCTCCCACATGGGTAAAGGTGCCCAAGGATCTGGGCCATCCTCCACTGCTTTCCCAGGCCATAGCAGAGAGCTGGATTGGAAGTGGAGCAGCCGGGATATGAATTGGCACCCATATGGGATGCCAGCACTGCAGGCAGTGGTGTTACCCGCTACACCACAGTGCCAGCCCCGAGATCTATTTTCAATTGACTTTATACATATATGATTAACTCTATGTTAAGTAAAGAGTTCAACAAATAGTATGAAGGAGGAAAAAAAAAACCTAAACTGTTCCTTACCGGTCAAGACAAGGGCTGTTTGTTCAAATTGTTGCTTCTGAAAGTATCAATTTCACTTCTACAGATTTCCTTTTAGGTGCTCTATTAATTATCACAGATCAAGGAGAACATATGGTATTTGTCCCTTTGGGACTGGCTTATTTCACTAAGGATGATGTTTTTCAGATTCATCCATTT